GCACTTGTACTTCTGCCTGAATAGTAGGATGGGATAGGAAAGAGTGGCGGGTGTGGTTTGGGTGCATGCAATATATTTAGGGGGGATTTTGGGGGAGGGGAACCACCTCTGTTCCAACAGGGTAGGCATCAAATTGGGACCAGTACGTACAAGCAGCTACAGCCAACCAGCAATAGCCAACAGCAGCGGCAGCAACAGTAACGCCGCCACCACCACCACCACCACCAACAACAACAACAACAACAACAACAACAGCAACAACAGATAATTCACCATTTCGAAGGCAATAACTCACCAAACGGCTGAAATCTTGGATACAACCTACCCACGTACTAAGGCATACAAGACATTGCGAGATCCGCACGAAGAAGACACCACCGAACGGCAGCACCGCTCCCTCCCCCCCTCCATTCTCACCCTCCATTCTCACTCACCCGTTCTCACTCCCGCGAGGAACATGACCGCACTTGATGCTGTCACACCCGTGGATTCGACCTCGACCGCCTTGGAGCTGGGCCTGGGAGCTCGAGCCCCCCGACCCGCCTACCGCGGCCATGACGCCACCGCCTCCGCCGTAGCTGAAACCCGTGGGCGCGCCCAAGCCTCCGCTTTCATCGGGCTCCTGTTTTTTTTCGATCCATTACAACGCTGGTGTGACGCTTGGGTACGTAGGCACTGGGAACCATCGTGACTCGAGTTTTTAACAGACACCACTTGATAAATTTCGCAATTGTAGCCCTGCCCTTTTACTTTTCGCCGCGTTAACCTCGTGCTCTGTTTGGTCACCGCTGGGTTAGACTCCTTCCTGACAAGCCAGACTACTGCCTGGCAAGCGTTAAAGGATCAAACCGTACGACCATGACGATCTACGCTCACAGGGGCAACCGCCTGCCGTAGCCTGGCACACTTTGACCTTGTGGACCGCACGAACACGCCAACCGCTACAACAGTCCCCTTGCTGGCGTGCGCTACAGAATCAAAGCGCAAACGATTGTACTACGAGTAAGACTCAACGCTCGAGAAGTCAACTGTTTATAACCATGAAGTCTCAACGCTCAAGACGGCAACTATTTAGGCTAGCTAGCCTGGCACATCGAGAGCACAGACGATTGCATTACCATTAAGATTCAACGCTCAAGAGGGCACTAACCTGACACACACACCGACTATTATATACGTAGTTACCTTATGGTGGCAAGGGGCGGGATTCCTCTCTGGCATCTCGTAGTAGCAGAGCCGCCAGTTGAACGACGCGCCGGGACCCTCCACCACACGGTTGATGTACGTGAACGTGTGACTGCGTGTACAGCGGTAGTTTCGTGCCAGTGCCAGTGCCAGAACACCCGGTAGCGGAGGGTCAGGTGAGAACGGCCACGGAAATCCGCAGTTGGGGTTCGGAATTCGCATGTTCATGCCCTCAATCTCGATCATCTCTACGCAGGAATACCCAAGGGGGGTCGATGACGTAGCAAATCCCTCCCCCCCCCGCCCCCCAAAAAAACAAGGGGGAACAAGGGGGGGGGGGGGACAGGGGGGGGAAATATGCCCCACCCCACCCCACCCCGCTACCCCTTGGAAAAGGGTCATCCTCCACCCCCTTGACCCCGGGGAAGGGGACCCCTTCCCTCCCCCCCGAAATGTTCTTGGCGGGGGGCCGGGCCTTTCTCCAGCCCAACCGGGGGGGCCCCTGGGGGAAGTCGCCGAAAGGGGGGGGGAAAAACCCCCCCCACTCGGGCTCGTTCTTGAACATCGCGAACTCGGAAGCGGGTTTCCCCTGTCAACCCGGGGGGGACATAAGGGGGGGGGGGGAGTCCTGTGTGGACCCCCCTGC